AAAAAAAAAAAAAGGACAGCCCTTAGCACAGTGCCTGGTAGAGAGTAAACACACTGTAAATCACAGCTGGCGTAACTGGTGTGACATAAGGCCAAGGCCTTTTCTATTTCAATTGAGTCAGGGGAGCTCAAGCTTTCTCCCCAAAGGATCCCTGAGAGAGAGTGAACTCGGGCAAGCTCAACGTTTCTTTGAAACTATATGGCTCTATCTTAAACTTTGGCAGGAGCTGTGTATTCGATTTCACAGTGTACCCCTGTCCATTTCAATGGAAAGACAACCATTTTCTCACACACCTTTGAGGAAAGATGTGGCTCATTTATCCTGTCACTTGGCATGCCCTAGTTTGAGAAACACCCCCTGGCCTGGTGACTCCCCAGACTCCTCCCCAACCCCCACCTCCTGGCCAGTGCCAGGCCTCCTGGGCGTACCAGAGCCCGTACCTGGCGTAGGTGGGGGTAACAACATAGATAGTAGGCAGGGCCTCAGGTTCGGGGGGCTGGGCAGGGGCAGGGGGTGGGCGACGGAGATCAGCCTGCAGCTGGGAAATCCTCAGATCCTTCTGCCGAAGCTGTTCTGCTGCTGCCCGCAGGGGAGGGAGGCAGTCACATGGCTGGCCTGGTCCCAGGAAGCAGGGATGGGGGCAGAGAACCACACACAGCACGTTGAGCATCCCAGAGGGGCATAACCTTCTCATTCAACTCCTAGCCAGTGCAGTCATCTCCTGACAACTTCCCCGACAGCCTCTTCTACATCCCTGGTGGTCTCAATCAGCAGCCCTCTCCAACTTCAATACATTCCATCTGTTGCAGCTTTCATTCCGATATCGAGCTGATCATCTGCCTCCTCTACCTGCTGGTCCTAATGTTGCCTTCTGGAGCCATAAAGAAGTCAATCTCCTGAAACAGGGCAGTCTTTTAAATACCTGAGGATCAAAGCCTGGTCTCTAAATCTCCGAGTAAGAGGCAACATTCAATCTGTTCCCTTGGCTATGTAACCAAAGACTCATAAAATTCAATTCCGTTATTGGATAAATATTTATTGAATGCTCCTCGTAGAAGGCACAGCCTTAGGTGCTGGGGATACAGCAGGGAGTAAAGCAGACATGGTCCCTGCCTTCGCGGAGCTTTCAGTTTAGTGGAGGAGGCAGACACTGAGCAAAGAAACACATTAGTAAAATCATTACAAATTGTGATAAGGGCCACGAAGGAAACATTTAAGATAGAGAATAAAAGAGAATCCAGAAAAAAGAAGAGTTAATCTAGCTAAGGTGGTCAGGGAAGGCCTCTCTGAGGCGGTGACATTTGAGCTGAGACCTGAAGGATGAGAAAGAGGCGGCCAGGAAAGAGCTCGGAGAAAAGCACTGCAGCCAGAAGGAACAGGTTAAGAGCTTGAGGCAGCAATGAGCGTGGGCTTTTCGAGAAACTGTCATGCAGCTTGTGTGGCCGGAGCAGAGCGAGCGAGCGGGGAAGGAAATGGGGTTGGAAAGGAGGACGGCAACAGATCATGCGGGGCCTTGCGGACTCTGGGAAGGAGTCTGCATCTCATCCGAGGTGCGGTGGGAAGCCGCGGTGCGTTCTAGAGAGGGGAGTGCGCCCGGCGGCCGCAGAGGGCTGTCGGAGGGCCGAGCCGGCTGAATGGTGTCTGCGCGGGGGCTCATCCCCAGGGCGGGATGCAAGGCGGCTGGCGCCCTCGGACGGGCCCGCCGCACCCCCGCCCCGCCCCGCTCACCGAGCTGCACCAGCGCGTAGAGGAGGCCGGCGATCGACACCAGGAAGTAGGCGAGAAACACGTTCTTCAGCTTCAGCTTCATGGCCGTGCCGCCGCCGGCGCCCGGGCAGGCGGGGTCCCGGGGACACGAGGGGTCCCCGCCCCCCACCCGCCAGCCTGCAGACCCCGCCCCTGCAGCGGCCCCGCCCCGCGTCCCGCCTTCCTCACGCTCCTCTCCACCGGCTCCCGGGAGCTGGGGCCGACAGCGCCCGCCCGTGCCCACTTCCGGTCAGTCTGCACACCGCCCCCCGGGTTAATTTCCGGTCCCACAGCCTAGTTCTGGGAACCACGGGAGTGGGTGACGTCACATCCGGCGTGTCGCGCTCGCGTGGCGGGCAGTCAGAAGCCTGGTGGGAGCGACGTTGAAACCTTCCCCTTGAACGCCCGTCCCTGTGTCTAGATTTCCTCCTTATTTTCATTCATTCATTTATCAGTCACAGCACCCAGTAACAGTTTAACAAACACTCGTCACACGAATGAATGAAATCTGGGACTTCTCACGTGCCAGGCCTGTGCTCTGGGTGTCTGTCATGCATTCCTCACTAGAATCCTGACATAGGTGGTATTGTCCCCAGTTTACAGACAAGTAACCAAGGTTGGCAAAAACTGCGAAATTGCCATGATGCAGTATGCTGCCCCTTCTAGATCTGTACTGTTTCCTCTGACCATTTCTTAAACAGGTGACAACAGGGGGCAGGGTAGGGGGGAGTAGGGAGTGGGGTGCAAGGCAGTGGGCCACCTCCCAAAAAATTGGAAATAGTTCTTGATGGTTAAGCGTCCAACTTTGGCTCAAGTCGTGATCTCACAGTTGGTGGTTTGAGCCCTGCCATGGGCTCTGGGCTGACAGTGTGGCCTGCTTGGGATTCTCTCCCTCTCTCTGCCCCCGTCCCACTTGCGCTCTCAAAATAAATAAAAATACATGTATTTCTTGAACTGAGCATTCCAAGGACACATCCCCTAACTATTCATAGGCACAAGCCTTCCTGAGGAGTCATTTTCCCTGAAAAAAAAAAAAATCATATAGTTTCTTATAAAATAATCTGAGACTGGTCGTCAGTCTACAAAATGGAGAGAACTATTTCCCATCACTGAAACAATGGGGAATTCGTGAGAGCATCAGACTAAATAGCTGTTTCTATTCAAGAGGGACCCCATCAGCTCTGGTCACCACTATTTTTTTTTTATTATTATTTATTTTTTATTTTTGAGAGAGTGCGAGCAAGGGAGGGGCAGAGAGGGAGATCTCAAAGAGGCTCTGTAGTGCCAGAGCTGAGCCCGACGCGGGGCTCGAATTCACAAACCAGATAATGACCTGAGCCAAAATCAAGTCGGACCCTCAACCGAGCCACCCAGACGCCATTAAAAAAATATTTTTAATGTTTATTTTGAGTGAAAGAGTGCGAGTGGGGGAGGGGCAGAGAGAGGGAGACAGAATCTGAAGCAGTCTCCAGTCTGAGCTGTCAGCACAAGAGCTTGACACGGGGCTTAAACCCATGAACCGCAAGATCATGACCTGAGAGGAAGTCAGATGCTTAACCGAAGAAGCCACCCAGGCGCCCCTCTGGTCACCACTATTAACTAGGCCTACTAAAATCTGATGACCTTGCCGGACTCCTCTATGAAAATACTGGCCTCTAGCAAGTTGAAGACCACTTGCACTTGCTCATTTTGCTGAACTGATGAGGCTTATGCTGAAGCTAGATGAAAATCTCAGGCCCTCAGGCTTCTTCTAAGGGTCTGTGGTTCAGGCCAGAACTAGAATCCAGACACCAACAGTTATTTATGGTTTATCTCTTTATTGTTTCTCCTTTTATCAAAACCTGTCACAGCTGGGGGCCAAGAGGAAGTAAAAAAAATTGCCACAAATATTCCCCCTTGTCCCCAGTTAGTCCTGTCCCACCCCCCGCCCAGGGCTTCGGGCCAACCCTGGGCACACATGATCATCTCCCCCCACCCTCAGCCTTCTCGGAACAATAAATACAGGTGACCGTGATTCAATGAAACCACAACTGATTTCTCCATCTTGAATGCCCCTCAAGGGGACAAAAAGGGGGCAAAAGAAGTTTAATGCCCATCCCCTCTTAAAGAAGAGTGGAAACTTCTTTCCCCCAAGGGACAGGGGAGACAGAACTGCCCCTGTCAGAACTGCAGCAGCTCTAGAAGCAATCAGGGAGAGGAAAGGTTGGGGTGACAGGGAAGAGGATGTTCTCCAGCAACCTCACTCCTTTGATCCATTCATCCCTTATCAGGTAAGGGGTGGTCCCAGTGTATCAATGGGGCATAAACAGGGGAGCGCTGACAGAGAAGAATCAGGAGGAAGAAATAAAAGGAGGGAGAGCAGTTTGGTGGGGAGAGGAGGGGAAGGAGAAAAGGAGCCCTAAAGCTCACTGCCCTCATCTTCTTCCAAGAAACGGCATCAACACACAAGAGGTATGAATGAAGAGGGTCTGGAGGGGATTCAGGGCCCCCAAAAGAAAGGAAGAAAAGAGAACGCAAGGGCCTCGTGGTCCCCAGGTCTTCACAGGTGAATGTGCTCCAGTTAGAGCAACAGAGTGTTGGGGGAATGGAGGGAGACGGTGTCAGTGGGGTGGGAGAGGTCGGAAGATCACAAGAGGAAGTTAGAGCCCAGGGACAGTTTCTCATCCTGCCCAGATGTTGGCAGAATCTGGGTCTTCAGATAAGAAAGGTGAAGTGTGGGGAGGGTCACACTCCAAGGCAGAAGGAAGAGGAACTCTTATCACCGCCGCACCCCTCCCACCCCCCGGCATCCCTTGGGTTATCGCAGGTGAACACTCCAGTCAGATGCCACGTTGATGCCAGGCTTGCGCAGGATCAACACAGAGGTCTCAGGGTCATGCTGGAAGGACAGGCGGCTTTCGGGAGATCCTGGTGGAAAAAAAAGAAAGTTCCACACTTATAGCGACAGGTTATGGCACAGCAACTACTTTCCTATGGGCAAGGTGTCCCTGGCCCTGCCCCTACATCCCCTCTGCCCCCACTCCAGGGGCCAGCCTTGCTCTTCACCTTTTGTCTGGAGTACCACGGCTGCTGGCTTTCCGGCCCCTATTATCACCACCCGCTCAATCCAGATGGGTGTCTCAAAGTGGCCTCTGGGGTCTGCTGAGCTAGAGGGAGCAAAAGCAAATGCCCATCAGGGAGAAAGATGTCAGAGCAGAAGGGAGGACGAGACCTTAAACAAGGTCATACGCAAGGTCATAATACAAGAGAAAAGTACAATGTGCGGTGAGCATCCCCGAGGCTACCAAGGAAGAATGGGCACTTCGTTACCTGGAGACCAGGGTGTTGCCAGAGAAGGAGAACCGACGTAGCAGGAACTCATGGCGAGTCTGATAGTTGAACGTGTGCCCATCATCTAGAAACAGCTCTCCTTGGGCGGTACCCTGAGCAGGAGGTAGGATGGATGAGAGCCTGGGCCTAAGAGGGAGTGAGGGGCACTCCCCGGGGGACTGAAGCCCAGTAAGGGAGCAGAGGGCTGAGGGGCTCCCTGTCCATGTGCTCACCTGGGGACTGAGAGCAACGAAAAGAGTGATGGGGTCATCCTTCATGCAGTCGGAAGAGCGCCGCACCCGCATCCATCGGGGGATAATGGTCCCTCCACGCTGGAACACGGGGATCTAGGGCGAGAGCAGCGCTGGGATAAAGTTGCTCCACTGTCCAATCTTGGGCCCTGCAGTGTCTCTTGCTCTTCCCCATCTGTGCCCACTTAAGTCCTAGACCCTGAAGCACACACTCTCTCCTTCTGGAAACTTACACACAGATGGAGCTGGCAGCTGGGCTGGGCATACTCACACTGCTTAGAGTGACAGGCAGGTACAGGGTCTGGGGACCATAGTGCTTCTGGTAGCTCTGAGTGTCATACCACACCTGTGGGTGGCAGGAGAGATACTTGGTCACTCACCACACAGGGCCCCCATCCCATTTACCCTCTTTGGCCTCTACCACCTTTCCCCACCACACCCTTTCTTCCTTAACTCACCTCCCCTTGGCCAGGCAGATAGACCTGCACGCCATGAGCCCCGGAGTCTGATACGGGGTGAACCAGTAACGCATCCCCTAAGACACACCAGAATCAACTGTGAACTGAGGGGGTCGGTTCCCAGACAGGGAGCACCAGAACGCCTGCCCAGCCTCACTCACTCCTCCCTCCCTGGGCGTCTACAGCCACCCCCCTCCCCCCCCACAGGTGCTCACTGCTCAGCCCTATCCCAACCCACCATCATCTGCCCTCCCCGTTTCTTACCAAGCAGGAACTGATCATCTATACTGAAGGTGGTCACATCCTGAGGATAATGCACCCACAGGGGCCTAGGGAGGAAGCAAGACAAGAAAGGAAGACACCTGCTGTCTTGGCAGATGTCAAAGATGCTGCCCTAGGAACTGCAGGAAAGAACAGCACAACCCAGGAGCTTGCAACCAGACAGCCCAACTGACCTGAAGGCCTCAGCTATGCGTCCTACCCTGGGGCTAGTCATTGAACTTGCTGACCCATCTCCTTGCCTCCCCCTCCCCTGTCCCATCTTAAAACATTCTCCACGCAACTCTCCAGTGGCCATTTTGTCATCCTGGGTCAGGTGAAATTTTCCTCTCCCATACCATCTTCTACCTCTCCCTCCAGTTCCTTACCCTGAGACACACAAGGCTTTCTATTTCTGGAACACAACAAACTCATTGCCACTGTACAATTTCTGCACTTGCAGCCTCCTCAGTGGGAACATTCTTCCTTGAGGTCACAGGCCATCTTCTTCATTAGTCAGGCCACCTCTCACATGCCCTTCTTCTTAAGAAGGCCATTTGTAGAAATTAATTCCATATCCCTGTTCTATTTTTTCAAAGAGCACTGTTGGCAATTTCCTTATTTGTATATTTGCATACGTCCGTCTGTCTTGCTCCCAAGGACAGAAGGACTCGTCTGCCTTGGTTCAGCCTCTGGGGATAGCGATGAACAACGCCTGGCAGTAATGTTTACTGCTACTCATCCCCTTTATTCTTTTCTTACTCTTGACCTTGAAACCAGAGTTTCCCTCTTTTATAAGGCCCTGGTGGGTGACAAGAGAGGCCCAGAGATGGAACCCAGTCCCCACTGTCCCTCAGCCACCTCGGCCCACTCTACACAGACCCAGCTGAATGCCTTACCTCATGACAGGAATGCCTTCACGATGAGCCTGATAGAAGAGAGTGTACCAGAAGGGCAGCAAGGAATACCGCTGGCCCAAGGCATCTCGGATTATGTCATGGTACTGAGTAGGTAAGAGCCAGGGCTCTCGCCGCCCGGTGTCCAAGTGTGCGTGTGCCCGGAAGAATGGCTGGTAGGCACCCATCTGGTACCAGCGCACAAGGAGCTCTGGCTCTGGATTTTTGAAGAAACCGCCCACATCCGCTAAGAAAGGGGAGGGAGGAAGCAGGTTGGAAAAGTGGGTGAAGGAAGGCTGCTAAGGAGCTCCCCCAGGCCCCACCCTGGACCCTCAGCTTGCTCTGTTCACGCCTGGGTCCCGCGCCCTCTACTTGCTCCTCTCCCACCAGACCAAGACCCCCAATTCCTCCCCCTCTCACCTCCGCAGAAGGAAAGTCCCACCAGCCCCAAGCTGAGACACATAGGGATAGAGATCTTCAAATGGTCCCATTCAGCAGTGTTGTCCCCTGTCCACACAGCTCCTAAGGAAGACAGGGAGATGGAGTTTGCAGACAGTGAAGGGCTCCGCTTTTCATACAGCTGACTCCTCCGATCTGCCACGTCCGCTCTAGGGCCCCCAGGGTCCTGTTGAGGAAGGCACGGCAAAGTGCACAAAAGCACTTGAAAGGGGACAGGACCCCCGATCCCTGGTTCCCTTTGAGTGCCGGGGACAGCGGGGTGGGGGATGCGGTGCGCTGTTCTCAGAGGACAGCTGTGTGGACGGACTGCTCGGAGAAGCAGGCCTTGGTGCGTCACTCTTCCGATCTGGCCTTCACACCCTCTGCCACAGCTCTGTTCTCCAAGTCTTACCGAAACGCTGGGAGCCGGCGAAGAAAGCCCTGCTCAGGACAAAGGGGCGCTCTAGGCCCCCAGAGCGCAGCACAAGCCCCTCTGCAGTCGCCATGTGCTGGGTGGAGACAGAAGAGGACGGGTGGTGAGGAGCAAAAAGCCTGCCGTCATCTGGTGTGAGTTCCCCGACCCTCAGGCCCTCCTCACTCAGCCTCTTACCACATAGAAGCCATAGATGTTATGCACGTCTCGGTGCTCCCAGCCCCCATAATGTTGCGCATCCTTGAGCATGGTAACCTCAGGACCATTGAACACAGATGGTTCGTTCATATCATTCCAGACATAGAGGTTGGGAGCTGAGCCCTAAGTACACAAGGCAGAAATAGGGTCAGAAAGACAAAGGAAAGAAAGATGACAAACTATGAAAGAACTCCTAGGAATGCAAAAAGAAGCCCTTCTCAGGGTCCTCCCAGGATCAAGCCTCGGGATAAATATAGGCAGCCAACCACAGCAGGGTTGGCCAGCGGAGAATGACAAGATTCACGGACGCAGGGTGGGAAAGACAGACGCGGGGAGGGGAGGGGCTGGCGTACCTCATAATTGTCAAAGCTGAACATGTTAGCCCACCAGGCCCTCATCGTGGGATTGGTAAAGTCAGGGTAACCAGCTGCACCTAGGACAAGTTAAGGGTGGCTGTCAACCTCCCAGGGGCAAAATGGCTACCATCCTAACTCCCTGGTTTCGCAACAGCCTCTCCCTCAACTCTAGGCCCACCTACCTGGCCAGCACCAGCCCTCGTAGTCAGAGCCATCCCGGGTTTTAACATACAGACCCCGGTTCTGCAACTCTTCGTGTACGCGGTAGCCGGAGTCCACCTTGATGTGGGGGTCCACAATGGTCACCAGCTGTGGGCAAGGAACATAGGCGCTCAGAACTCTCCAGGGCTGCTGTGCCTGAGAAGACTAAGCATGGCCACAGTCCTCTTACCTTCCGCCTCTTGGAGGCCAAGTGTTCGAGCATGGTAAGGGGCTGGGGGAAACGGCTGGGATCCCAGGTGAAGTACCGCTTGCCATCAGCATGCTCGATGTCCAGCCAAATGACATCACAGGGCAGGTTGTGATCATCGAAGCCCTGATCGACTTCCAGCACATCGGCCTCATCCCGATAGTTCCAGCGGCTCTGGTGGTAGCCGAGGGAGAAGAGCGGGGGCAATGCCTGGGTCCCTGCAGGCATGGGGGTCACAGTGGGGTCAGGCCCAACCCGGGGCCAATGGGAACACCCAGAAATCGAGGGAAGTTTGTCAACTAGACAGAAAGCGAAGGGTGTGGAGCTAGGAAGTAGGCTGAGGCACAGGATTTTTGAAAATGCAGTCATCCCTTTCAAGAAGACAAGGGCCAGCAAAGGAGGCTGCTGGCTGGCAGAGAGGGGACGCGCGTACCTGTGAGGCTGGCATACTGCCGGAACACATCAGACACAGAGGGCCCAAGCAGCAGGAAGACATCAATGATGCCACTCTCTGACATCCAGCGGACATCTGTCTGCGGGGTCTCTCCAGAGCCCTGCAGGTAGTCTAGCATCTTCCCAAACAGGGTCTACAGAGGGAACCACAGACACAGGTCTAACACCTACCCTCTTCTTCCTTGACCCGGCGACAAAGCCAATGTTCTCAGAATCCTCACACAGCTGGCTCCTAACAAGTCACTCTGGGCTGAGGTGAAGGGTCACCTCCTCAGTAAGGCTTTCCCAGACCACACCATAAAAGCAGCACTGTCCCCATCCCCAGCATGTGACCACTGCATTTCTTTCCCAGCACTTACCACCACTGAACTCCCCTGCCTTGTTACATGTCTAACGTCTGTCTTCCACCCTGACAGCGAGGACCTTTCCTACCTCAATGAGCAATACATTCCCAGCACCTAGAAAAGTATCTAGTACGTGATGTGGAGTCAATAAGAAATGTACCAATAAGAAGTGCAGAAAGGGCAATACCTTCCCCATTAGTATGTGTTTTCTGGAAATTACTGGGGAATTCACATGCTGCTCCCAAGGCCAAGGGCCTCTTCTCCGTTGCAGTCCCCAAACAGGTACCCCTGTGGGCCTCCCGCCAGCCTCTTTAAAGCAAATGCCCTAGCACACTCGTTTGTCTCAGGCCTGATGATGCACTCATTGCTCCCCGCCTGCACGCTCACCTTCCCTGCAGTGTTAGAAGATATGTCAACCCAGGTCTCTGCGGCATTGAGCCAGAAGATGCCCAAGTCTCGATGAGGGCTGTGTGCCAGGAGCACAGGCACAGACCCATACAAGGCCATGGGGTTGTAGAGCTCATACTGGAATACATCCAAATTGTAGAGGCGATACGGCTCCCCACCCCTGAAGGCAGACAGACAGACTGGCCTTAGGCTGTGGCACCCACAACCTCCACCCCACAGATATAGGTGAGTAATAAGAACTCGTTCCTCTACCCTTACTTGAAGAATTTTCTGATCACCAAGGAGATCTGGCCTCAGGAAGTGGTTCATGCTTGTCTGGAGTATCCAAACTGCATGGACACCACCCCACAGCCTCAACTTCCGACCTCTCTCTCCCCTCCCCTCCATGTCCTGGTGTCACCATGGGACTCACTCAGTGACCTTCAGCCGCAGGTTTTCAGCATGCTCAGGGATCCCATACACATGCTCCATGCCTGGCAGAGAGAAGTCCAAACCCACAGACGTGGGGCCTGGAAGGAAAGCAAAAACTGGGCTCCAGAGCTCCCGTTTGACAAGGAGTCCCTGCATCCCTGCCCAAGGCTCTTGCAGTCCCTCACCATATGGCTTGCTGTCAGAGTGGGTTTTGAATGTCTCCTCCCAGGCTCCTGGCTCATCTTTCTCTGCCTTCCCCTGGGTCTCCTCTGGCTGTGAGGAAAGCAGATCACCTCCAATCACACATAGCTCTCTCTTCCCCCACCCTTTTCTAAATTCCATCTCCGATGAGGAGACTGAGCTCAAATTTCCTGTGGGCCTTTCCCCTCCAGCCTCCCGGCCAGCCCTGTGCCCCAACCACCTGGCCCACCGACTTGCCTTGTCACCGTCCCCAGGCGTTTCCTCGGGCTGGTCCCCACCACCCTCAGCTGGGTCTTTTGATCCTTGCCTGGAAGGTAGGAGAGCTGTCTGCTCCAATCCAGAGGGGGCAGGGACGAGGGGCTAGTGGAAGGAGGGGTAAGGGAATAGAGAGCCAAGGGTCCAAAGGAACGAAGGCATTGGAGGAAGGGACTGAACGTTAAAGCTTGGTGAGGGACCCCAGCGAGCAGATAAATGTGCCAAGGACGGGGAGAGAAATGAGGAAGGGAGATGAGTAAATACCACCAGGAGGGGCCTTCCACACACAGGACCAAATCCCCAGCCTCTGCCCACTTCCAGAAGAGACAGGCAGGATGGCTCCAGTGCCTGCATTGGGAATGCCAGTGCTGGCTATGCTGCCTCCGAGACTCTGGCCCCAACTACTGTCACCGGGCCTCTTGGCCTGACACCAGGGTTTTACAAAGGCAAGTGGGTCATACCATGGTCAAGCCTCTACGGATATATGCAGGGACTCAAACAAGAGGTTCTGCCAAAGAATGCTTTCAAGGGCAGCTGGCAAGCAGCTCTACCTAGAGCCTCAGTGCGCCCCAGCTGAGAGCCAGAAACCCCAGCAACAGGCAGTATCTCTCCACCCCTTGGCAAAGCAAGAAGCTGCCTACATTCCTCAAGGACTTCCAGCATTTCATCTTCCTTCTCCCAGGGGGCTCCTAGCCAAGGGAACAGGGAAGAGTGACCAGATACCCACATACCTGGGGAAAGAAGGGTGAGGGCAGGGTGGGGCATGGGAAGGTCTGGGGCACCTTCCCTTGGGGGCCAGAGTAAAGGGCAGGTAAGGGCAGAGGAACAGATACAGTACCAGTGGCCATGGATTTACCTAGAGAAAAGGTTCTTGATCTTATCCCAAATGCTACCGAGCGTGACACTAACTTTATCCGAGAAACTGGGCCAGGAGGAGATGGGTAGGGAAGGGGGAAAGGAGGCACAAAACCAACACAAAAACAGAAACATAAAAGTGAGTTTCAGTCGACAAACTTCCAGAGATGGGGGGGTGGGGGGAAAAGAAACAAAACAAAACAAAACAAAAAAACAAAAACAAAAAAAACAAAAAAAGGAAGAAAATAAATCTGGGAAATGTGATGGTGTGAGAGGGGAAGGAGGAAAAGGCAGACCCAGGCAGGCCTCCCAGAAGAGGTGCCCAGGGTACAGCTCAGGGACAAAACTGACTTGCCTCCTGGTCTGTACAGGAAACGGAGAAAACTGTGACCCGGGTCTGCTTCCTACCCTCCCTGAGAGTCAGCTTCTCCCAGCCCCCACCCCCTACCTGGTGGTCCTGCCACCCTGTCCCCTCCCAGGGAACCAGTGCCAAACCCACCACACCCCTAGGCTCTTTTACACCAGGTCCCTTCCGGTCCCAGGCCCCGTACTCACGGGACCCTGGGGGCCCTCTGGTGCTCAAAATCCAAGAGTCCTCGGGCATTGACACTGAGCAGAAGGCTGCGGTCCTCTAGCAGGTCAAGGCGGAACGGCCGCGCCGTCAAGATGATTTTATAGGGTCCCTCAGCCACAGTAAGCTCCACGCTGTTGTCATCACGGCCAGAGACAGAAAGCCTGGAAAAGAGATCAGAAGGGATACAAGGAAGTGCAAAGGATCAAAAGTAGTCACAACACTTCAGAAGAGAGGGGACCTGTGAAGGGCTATAGGTGTGTGGGGACAGTGCCAAGGATGGACAAATCAAAGGAATCAAGTAAGCGCTGGGCAACGGACCCAAGCATACGTAGAAGTTCCAAATGTAACAGAGGTAGCATGGCAGTTCGGTGAGGAAAGGACTATCCGATAGTGAAGGAGGAAAAACATTTTGGGAATAGGAAGAAAATGGTACTATCTATATTCCTACCTCATACTAGATACTAATATCAACTCCAGACAGGTTATGATTCTTTAACTTTTTTTTTAAAGTAATCCCTACACCCAACGTGGGGCTTGATCTCATGACTCTGAGATCAAGAGTCACATGCTCTACTGACTGAGCTCGCCAGGCACTCCTGAGGTAAGATTTTTAGAAGATGTAAACTTGAAAAAAAAATTTTTTTTTCTGACTTTGAAATAGAGAATTATTATTATTTTTTTTTTTAATTTTTTTTTTTCAACGTTTATTTATTTTTGGGACAGAGAGAGACAGAGCATGAGCGGGGGAGGGGCAGAGAGAGAGGGAGACACAGAATCGGAAACAGGCTCCAGGCTCTGAGCCATCAGCCCAGAGCCCGACGCGGGGCTCGAACTCACGGACCGCGAGATCGTGACCTGGCTGAAGTCGGACGCTTAACCGACTGCGCCACCCAGGCGCCCCTGAAATAGAGAATTATTTAAACATACCTTAGGGGCACCTGGGTGGCTCAGTTGGTTAAGCATCTAACCTTGGCTCAAGTCATGATCTCACAGTTCATTAGCGTGAGCACCTCACTAGGTGAGCTTGAGCCCCGCTTCAGGGGAGGTCGAGCCCTGCATTGGGCAAGCTCGAGCCCCGCTTTGGGTGAGCCCCACTTCCCTCTCCCTCCTTCTCTCTCTGCCCCTCACTCACTTGAGCCCTCTCTCGCTCAAAAAAATAAACAAATAAAAAATAAACACAACTTCGAGGGCACCTGGGTGGCTCAATCAGTTATGCGTCCGACTTCGGCTCAGGTCATGATCTCACAGAGCCCACTTCAGATCCTCTGTCCCCCTCTCTCTCTGCCCCTCCCCTGCTTGCACACGCTCTCTCTCAAAAATAAACATTAAAAAACAGAAAACACAACTTAGAAAGTGCTAACATCAGAAAGTAAAGATTGATATGCATGACAACATTTCAAATCCAGAATTCCTGCTTATCAAATCCAAATTTTCTCATTCAGATGTCATCAAACCAAGAAAAGTTTGAAAAACTGTCCCAGTCTAGAGAAGCCTAAGGAGACTTGACAACTAAATAAGTTATCCTAGGTGGGATCCTGGAAAAAGGATAAAAACTGTTAGATAAACTTTTATTACATAAAAACTAGGGAAATCTGAATAAAACATGGACTTTAGTTAGTAACAATGATATCAAGCCATCAGGGATAACAAATGCACTGCATTAATACTAACAACAGGGGAAGAGGAGTGCAGGGTATACAAGAACTCTCACAAGATCCTTGCACTACAGATCTAAAACTATTCTAAAATAAAATTTTTTCAAGACACCTTTAGGAGAGTAAAAAGATAAGCTACAAACTGGAAAAGGATAGAGCTACAATACAGGTAAGTGAGAAAGGATCAAGACTAATGAATGGGGCGCCTGGGTGACTTAGTCAGTTAAGCATCCAATTCTTGATTTCGGCTCAGGGGATGATCTCATGGCTCGTGGGATCGAGCCCCGCATCAAGCTCTATGCTGACATCGTAGAGCCTGCTTAAGATTGTCCCTCTCCCTCTCTCTGTTCTCCTTCCCCACTTTTGTGCACATACACACACACTCTCTCTCTCAAAATAAATAAATAAGCATAAAAAGAAAAAAAAAAATAACTAATGAATTTCTGGGGCACCCGGCTGACTCAGTCGGTGGAGTATGCGACTCTTGATCTTGGGGTTATGAGTTTGAGCCCATCTTGGGTGCAGAGATTACTTTAAAAAAAAAAAAAAGAAAAGAAAAAAAAAGACTAATGAATTACTACAAATCAGTAAGGATGAACAACAGGAGAATGAGCAGAACTATGAACTAGCGTTTCACAGAATTATGAACCAGAACAGATAGACATGTGCAGAGGTGCTCAGTCTCACTAAAAAACTGGGAAAGACAACGAAGCCAAGAAAACCACACAGCATCATTCTACAGCCATTCTATCAACCAAAATTCAGTCCAATAGTATTAAGGGTTGCAGAAGATGTGGGTCAAAGAGGCCTTTTCTATACTGCTGGTGGAAGTGTAAATTGTCAGTTGCTCCGGCTCTACCTTGGAAAACAGTGTTTCCACATTCTACAACTCTGTGGCTCCTTTCCTAGCTCTGCCCCAAAGAGAAACTCGTGCACACGGACACAGGAGACATGGACAAGAGTGCTCACGCCAACACTCTGAATAGCAGAAATACTGGGAACAACCCAAGTGCCCCTTAATGTAGAAAGGGATCAATGAGGTGGGATATATTCATAAGTTAATAATCTACAGCAGTAAACATGAATTTCTAAAGCTACATGCAACAGAGCTATATAAAGTTACGCAAAAAATGGAAATTCCAGGGGCAGCTGGGTGGATCAGTCAGTTGAGCACCCGACTCTTGATTTTGGCTCAGGTCATGATCTCACAGTTTGTAAGATCAAGCCCCAAGCCAGGCTCCGTACTGGCAGCACGGAGCCTGCTTGGGATTCTCTCTCTCCCTTTCTTTCTGCCCCTTCTCCTGCACATGTGCACTTGCTCCCTCTCTCCCCAAAAATAAATAAATAAATGTTAAAAAAAAAAAAAAAAAAGGAAATTCCAGAAGCCCACATTCACTAAGTTACTTGCCCTGTAACACTCAAAACCAAACACAACTACATTATTTATGGCTTAGGCATGAAAATACAAATATGTTTGTGTACATATGTTCTTACACATACACGGTACAACTGTAAGAACAAAAAAACAAGGGAATGATAAACTTGAGAATAACAATCACCTGTGGGGGTGATCAGGGGCACAGGACAGGGAGAAGTATATGGTTGGGTTAGGTAAAGGGTATACAACGTGGAGGGTTCATCATATCGAATTGTAAATTAAGTACTTAATAGAAAGCCATGCACAGGGTGCCTGACTGGCTCCGTCAGAAAAGCGTGGGACTCTTGATCTTGGGGTCATGGTTTTGAGCCCCACATTGGGCACAGAGATTACTGAAAAAAAATAAATAAGCAAACTTAAAAAAAAGAGAGAGCCATACACGGAATACTCATAATGACTGTGTGGCATGACTCAAGAATTTGAGTAATCCTATCCTGCGTTATCTGAGGAGAAAGAAAGAAAAAAGAAAAGTGATCGGAAGGAGAGGTAAGGGAGGAACCAACCACACAGACATAATGCTGGAGGGCAAGACCTGGGGCCTTGTTTATTTCCTCTCCCATCGTCAGCACCTAGCCCGGGCCTGGCACAGAAACGGAGGCAATAGCTGTTTGCAGAATGAAAGAAGACAAAAAGTGAAAGAGAAAATACATAAAGCAGAGGGAGAAATGGAGCAAGGTTGAGGAGAGTGGCAAGATGCTAGTCAGCTGTTACCCAGAAGCAGAAAAGAAAGTCAGTCAAATAAAGTTGCATCAAGAAGGAGAAAGAGGCTGCGGAAATGGATAGGTTTCTCAGGAAAAATTTACCGAGCTGTAGGGGGATCAGCCACCAACACATCTGGCACCCGGTATCGGGGCCGCCGGGGCTCCAGTTCATCAATCCTGATCCGAGTCATGTTCTTTTGAAGCCCTTGGAGCTCCAGCACCAGCAACACCTGTGGGGGCAGAGGTCTGGATGTGGGGAAGGGAGAGGGCTACACCACAGAATGCCCTCTGAACTCACTCCCTCCTGAGGGGTCTCCTCCTTATTCCTCATAAAATCCCAAGACAGTTGGGAAAGGATGTTGGCTGGCTACAGGTTCACCTTTCCCGAATTACCCCTTAGCCATTTCTCCACCCCCACCAGACTCCTCCTTTTCTCCCCTGACCTTGGTGACCTCGTTGATCAGATGGACTGTGAGGGCATCAGGACCAAGTTGCAGAGAATCCAGCAAGGCTCGGTACGGAGAGAGGCCTGGCCGTATGCTCCGTTGCCTCCTGCCAAGCGAAATGGGAAGGTGGCAGGGTTCCCCGAGGTTCCTAGGTCCCTCTACCACCTCAAGTGTCCCCAGGCTACCCAATCTGCCACAGCACCTCCCACATTACCCCAGTTTCCATCCCACTCTCCAAGAAACATCATACTTGCAGAAGGAACTCTCTTCACAGGTCTTAAAGTTGCTTCTATCCACAGCAAGGGTAACTCCCAGACAGACACCTAAACAAGCGAGTACCAAACCTGTCCAAGACCTGAGGAGAAAAAAGACAAAGAGGCAACGATCAGCACAGAGGTCAGAAAGGGCTCCACCTCCTGAGGTAAAGGCCCCTTCCCACCACAACCCTAAAAGGGGAGAAAGACAGAGTCTGGTTAAACAGGAAAGAAGGCAGAGTGGACATGGGATGAAGCGTCAGGCGTGAGGAGCTGGCTCGCTCACACCTTCCCTTCAAAAGGCACAGGAAGTGGACAAAGGATCTTTGGCCTTCAGAGGCCCTGGTGTTGACTCTGGTTACATCAGCCTCTCAGAGGAAAGGAGCAGTAACAGCCAGTCCCGGGGGAAGTGGTGGTACCGTGTGAGGAAAAGAGAAACAAAGCGAGCCAGGCCTTCCCACGGGCAAGGCCTCAGGGGCAGCTAGGGTGAAAATGTTAAGGATGTACCCTCAGCTAGCCTGCTATCACAATAGAGTCCTAACATCCCCAGCACCCTAGGCATACTGGTCCTCTGATGTCTACTCCTGTATCTCCAAAATAAGTCACCACTACCACTACCTAAGCCTGAAAAACAAAAAATAACAGCTACATGTACGGAGCCCTAATGTTCCTCCAGGGGCCTGGCTAACTGCCTATATCCCTAGTTTTCAATTTTCCCTGCAGTTTTTAAAAGTGCCAACACCTGGGTCTTGCTCCCAGCGATTCTGACCGAAGTGGCACGAAGCGCGGCGTCAGTTTAATTTCCCAAAACGACTCTAATGGGCAACCACCATTCAAAACCACTTCTTTATACACACTCCCTCTTTTTCATTTTTTTCGTTATTTTCTTTGTGAATGTAGGGTTGGGGTTTTTCCCAGATGGGAAAATTGAGGCATAATAGGTTCGATGATCCATCCAAAACTGAAAAGCTAATAAGGGGTGACATTGAGACTGAACTCAGCTCTGCCTGACTCCGGGGCCCACATACTTCACGATACACAATACAGCACACAACCTATGAAAAGTGCCTGCGTCATTAAGGACCATTACCCCAAGGTTACCACAAATTGTCACTTCCCCAATGTGCTCTCAAATGACAGAAAAGGGACTAATAGGCTTATTTGAACAAGTTAGTTTGAAAGATATGTTCGCCCATTCTGAGTAAACCCTAAACAGAGGTTCTCAAACTTTATTGTCTCTTAAGAATTACCTGCAGGACTTATTAAGTGCATATCCCGGGAGTTCGGGAATCTGCGTTTTAAACATCCTTTCCAGTGACTGATGCAGGTGTTCCAAATAGGGGAGAAAACACAACACATGATTCCTTTTCTTCTCAGCCTTAAAAGTTTGCAACCTACTAGCTAACAAGGTAGCTAAAGAGTAGGGCTTACTATATACATTGTATCCAGCATTAGCCTCAATACTGGCTTGAAACCTAAACTAAGGAAAATCACCAGAAAGGAAATCACCCAACACAGTAAGCCCTCCAGTTCCAGAAGAATATGCAAAGAAGTCAGGCCACACAGAAAAGTGAGGAAAACACCAGGCACTGTGGTTTGATAGGCCAACCAGGAATAATCAGTAGCAAAACCAGCAGAAGAAATGCTATCAGAAAATTCAATAGCAAGGTTTGGGGCCCAAGTCTTGAGGAGTGACTGCAGCAGGCACACTACACCACTGACCCCAGGTCTACCTGCCCAGAGCAGCAGTAATCAGACTTAAATACCCTCTGGAGTACTATTTGCACAATCTATAAAATGGGCTTGGAGAAATGCCAATGAGGATAGGATTTCTAAAAGATCTTTCAAATGTGACCTGTTGGAAGGCTCTATGTACTCAGGGATGCCTTGAACGCCCCAGAGCAAGAGGCGGTCACAAGCCAAAGTCAGGAATGAGCCACAGGGTAAGATGCACCCGTTTATTGTTTCAGATCACAGGCTTCCAGAGAGTTGAGTTTACAGTCCAATCTTTTTTTCACTGCTGGTTGACAGTACATGCCTCTCCCACCCCGGTATATCCGTTAGGTCCGGGTAAACGCTTTGTGGCGCTGGTGATTGTTTTGAACCGTTTTTGTTTTTTGGTTTTTTTGTAATATAAACTCGAGAGCGCAGACCAAACCATTCGATTGCATGTTGTGTTTGAGCACCATCATCCAGGCAGGCCGTGAAGTTAACGTGCCCAGCGACCGTGGATACCGAGCAAGCCAGGGTTGGTGTCCAGGTGAAGACAAGGGCAGGGCAGGGTCCGGGACTCTGGGGGGTAGGGCAAGAAAGGTAGTGCAGGCCGGACAGCAAGCCGCGGTGCTTCCCGGCTGAGGGGCCCGCGGGGCAGCAGGCTGCGTTCCCGGAGGCCGGGCCGCGTCTCGTCCCCCGCCCCGATGGCCCCGCGCACTGCAGGAAGGAGGCGGCAGCGTTAACCGCCGCGAGCCGCCAAGCGAGGGGGGACGGCTGCGAGCGGCCAAAGCCAAGAAGAGCAAACGGCTGCAGCCCTCTTGAGCCGCCGGGCTGGAGCGGGAAGCCCGAGAAGCAAGGGCCCCCAACGCCGCGCGGATCTACCGCGAGGAAACTGGGGGCGCCTGAGGCCGCCTCCAGAGAGACAAAGGGTGCTCACGAGGCCGTGAGTGACAGAGTTTTAGGAGGACATACAGGAAAGAGAGATATGGGGCTTGGGGGGCCTGGGGGCGTCCCGGGCGTGCCCCGGGATTCCGGGCTCCTCACCGCCTCCTACGCGCCGCCACTGCCGCTACCGCCGCCATCTTGTGCCGGGTTTGCTCCTTGACCCCGAGCCTCCCCTCCCCCCGCGCGCGTTGAGCCACGTATCTTAGCGCCCGCCCCTTCCGGCCTTCTGATTGGCCCGGCCACACAACGGCCGGGCGGCTACCCCATTGGCAGAGCGCACACAATAAATGCCCGCGGAAGGCGGGGCCAGGGGCGTGGCCTGATGGCGGGGGCGGGATTGTTCAGAGCCAGGCGCTGTCCGACTTTGCCAGCTCTTAAGCATCAGACAGAGGCACTGGACTCTGCTTTTCTCAACTCGGTAAATTTTATTTAGAAAAAAAGGCGGGGGAGGAAAAAAGTGACACCGCTCTTTAGGCCAAGGTTTAGAAGAGAAACCTCCACCTTTCTGCAGCACCTTAGCCCCCCTCTCTCTCACTGCTTAACGTCCCTTGGCTTCCGAATCATGGGAAAGGCTATGTCCCCTGCCGAAGGAGAGTGGACGGTGAAGGTGCCTGGAAACGGCCAGAGAAAAGCCCCAAGCGGTCAATGTTGCGGTGGAGGACACTGTGCAGAACCGCGAGATGGGGTCCACCCTCACCCCCACCCTCCCTGGAGAAGTCCCGGATGAAGCGACCACGCTCTGACTGGAAGATGAATTTCTGGGGCAATGGCCCATGCTCCCGGAGAAAGCCCCAGACACTGAGCAGCAGCAGACGCACTTCGAAAGGTGCCAGTTGGCTAAATACCTCGTGCATATTCCCCAGGGCTGGTGGCAGGAGGCTTCCCTCAGCCATGACTGCTACCAGGGTGCAGGATGCCTCCAGGTGCCAAGGGGAGTGAGCTGTATCAGGGTGGCGAGAGGCTTCCCAATGACCCAAGAGGGCGGCCAGTAGACCCCGCAGGAGCACGGAGCAGTAGCACAGGGCTGGGGGAGCAGCTGCTACCAGCTTTAACAGCTCAAAGAGCAGGGGCTGTTCCCGGAAGCGCCGGCCAATGCGGAGATCCCGCTCCACGGTGGCCCGGGCATGCTCCTCAGGGGGCCAGGCTAGCTCAGCACCAGCTGCATCAGGACACACACTCTCCACTAACGTCACTGCCACTGCTTTGGCTGCCTCCGGGCTCAGGGTGGGAGTCCCCCAGCAGCCCCCACATTCAGTCCCCCCGGGGGCACTGCAGCAGTGCACCAGGAGGCTGAGGAGGCTCTGGGTGTTATAGATCACTTCCTGCTGATCTCGCGACTGCACAAACTTGGGTGGCTTTAGGCCACGACCGATGACTCCAGCGTGGAAAACTGACCAAATCCCTCCAGGACCTGGCACGGCCGCAGTGTGCCGCCGGTTTGTGTCCAACAGGGAGGCAGAAGCCAAAGGAGCGGAGACAACTGAAAGAGTCTCGTTGTCCCTATCCACTTCCCCTCCAAACAGTTCTGTGTTGCCCCGATGTAAGGCTCCCTCGACTAGCAGCTGCAAGACAGCCTTGAGCCCAGCTGGAGAGGTCTGAGAGAGGCGGGTAAGAAGCTGAGAGGCCGAAGCCACACCTGGGGGGCCATGCAGCCTCAGAGAGGCAAAGAAGCGATGCACTCCAGCTCTCACCAGTCCCAGGAGTTGGGAGGGGGACAGGGCTTCTTGAGGAAAGGGACAAATGGCCAGGAGGGAGGCAGCAGCTTCAGCTACTTCCTCCTCAGGATGTAGCAGGAGAGGAGCCAGGTCAGACAAATGGGCTGACGCAGACTCCCCAAACCGGGCCCCTAGGGCTGCAGGGCCCTCACCACCCTGCTGTTCCCACCCGACTAGCAGTGCCAAGTTGCGCAGGAACCGGGCCGTGAAGGGAGGCTGCAAAGTCCCTGCATGCACCCGAGCCAGGCAGCTTCGGAAAGCCAGAGGCAGGAGGCCAGACAGACTGACCACCAGCCCCGCATATAATTGGGTGGCCAGACTCAATTCTTCAGGGCTTCGGGCCCGGCTCAGGAGATGGCCTAAGGCCTCAGGTCCACAGCTAGGCCGAGTATAGACAGAGAGCAGGCCCAGGAGCTGGTGTTGCCAGAGGAAGCGCTTCCGTTCCAATCGTAATGTCTCTCCACACAGCTCTCCGACGTGGTTTCTTAGCGCATCTAGAAAGGGCACAGGGCGGGGGGGTGGGGGCGGACCCAGCACCCCTTCCCCAGGAGACCCTCCCCGGTGATGAACCAGTTTTTGCAAGTGCAGAAGCAGCAGCTGGATCAGCCGGTCACAGGCCTCACGCACAGTGTCTGGCACAGCCAGGCCTTGGGTGGTAATGACTGAGGCAGGCATGGCTGTGTCCACCAGGAACTGCAACAGGCGGTAGGCACCTGCCCCAGAGGCCTGGCTCACCAGGTGCACAGCCAGGTTCAGCATGTTGTCCAGCTCCTCTCGGGGGAATCCCTGCAGGTGCTGCTGCAGCTGGCTCAGCACGGCTGGGGGCTTAAGGCAGTCCACCAGCTCTCCAGAGACCGTGCCCAGCAAAGCTGGTGACATGACCGCCAGCTGCAGTAGGAAGGGAACTGTGGCCTGAAGGGAGGGGTCCCCACTCCGGCCCCCAGTGCCCCCTGCCAGGCTATCATGGAACATTCGCAGAAGCTCCCGTCGGATGCTGTCTCCGTGGCGGGAGGCCAGGTGCCCTAGGATGCCTACAACTGAGGCAATCTTGGGCACCCGTTTCTCCCCAGGGATAGCAGGAGATCCAGGAAAGGGGTCTATAGAGGGGGTTTGAGAAGAGCTTCCACCACTGCCACCAGCTCCACCTCCAGCCCCGCCGTGAACACAGAAATCCTTAAGGCCACAGGAGAGAACTCGGGAGATGATGGTGCCAGGAAAAGAGGAGCCAATATGGGCCACAACCCAGTCGAAGTGTGGGGAATGCTGGACAGAGGTATCCAGCAAGGCATCCACGCAGGCATCTGGGCAACTACCAATGAGAGCTGAGAGACACTGAACATAGATGTCCATTAATGTGCGGGTGGCCCGGCAGCCCATCCACAGCTGCAACAATTCGTTGAGGGAGCCAGTGGCATGGGGCACACGCTGGTGCTGGCCTGAGTATGTGCTGCTCAGCTGCCCCATGAGGTCAATGGACCACGCGCTAATCACAGGTGCCCAGGCCTTCGGGTTGGCCCGGATAAACTCAGACAGCACCTGCTGCACTTCCTGCACCACATCTTCTAGACCAGGTCCCCCAGCAGGGACGTGGGAGGGTGGGGGTGGACGGAGGTGAGGGGGGCCAGCCACAGGGCTTTCGTCCAAGGCAGCCAGGTGGGCCCGGACGCTCTCGTCAAAGACGCCTCGCAAGTGGTCAAGCACGGCGGCCCGAGCCGGTGGCAAAGAGCGGAGCAGGAGAAGGCCACAGCGAGCATGTTCCCGGGCCGAGAGTTGGTGGCCCAGAATAGGGTCCACGCCAGTCAGAAAAGCCTTGATTTCCTGGGACAGCTCTTGAGCACTGAAAAGAAAGCAAGAGAAGCAGACTTATTGAGTGTTGGGAGATGGTGGGCACATTACATTCCCTCTGTGAGCTTCGGGTTTTTTCCACATAAAACAGGGAGAACTGTGCTTCAAAAGATAATGTAAGTGAAGCACTAATGCCCCATATCAAGTTTCCACTAATCACCCAATAAATGCTACCTATTTTTCTTTCAATAATAACAATAATGTCTATGTTAGATAACTCATCTCAGGTACTCTTGAAGTACTTTATATGTATTATTTCAATCCAGACAACAGCCCGGTAAGGTAGGTACTATTGTGTTCCCACTTTACAGATAAAGAAACCAAGGTTAAGCAATCAGACTATAAGCTCCAAGAGGGCAGTAAACATTCCTGTGCTCTTCAACACCGAATACTCTTCTACTGAGGTGCCTGGTATATGGAAAGCACTCCATTAAGTATTTGTTGAATCAAGTAAGTATACCTTGTGTGGCTACAACATCTGCTTTAAAAACACCTTTCCAACTTTACTGCCCTTCCCCCAAAACACAAGCACCCTCGTTAAGGCCTCCTAGTACCTGTTTCTTAGTACCATATTCTGCAAGCACCCTAAGCACACACCACTTGGACCCCACATCAACAACCACCACCTTCCCAGCATTCTCAGTGTGCCTTGGAACCACGGTATCCCCAGGGTTCATACAAGGTAATAATGTCTGCCTTTCAGCCCCTTCCCCTCCCAAAACATATGGCTTCAGTGGTAGAGGTTCAGAAGCCAGTGTTATGGGAAGAGGCAAAGTCCCCTTCCTCTTACTGCCTTTTCTGCCAAAGACCGCATCCTCTAGGGCTCCGACTGTGCCTTGATTTCTTAAATAAATAAATAAACCACCCTAAGGTAAGGAGGAGTATCTTAGTTGCAGGACAAGGGAAAGGCTAGAGGGAAGCATTTTGTGGGCCTGGGTTCTCAGGGAGACTCCATGAAGTCAGGGGACTCTGGGTTCTCTCGGCTCTAAAAGGGGCAGGACAGCTGGGTTCCCAAGAGTTCTGATAACCCCAACTATTGTGAGAACAAGGCCGGGATCTGGGGTAACGGGGCGCTGCGGGTTAGGGGGAGGCACGACCGAGATCTTAGAAGGGCGGGCACTGGAGCCCAGAGTTTTGGCGCGGCAGCCCCTTGAGTTCTGGGAAGACCGGACCAGGAATCTCTGAGAACCCTGACGCGAGTTCTAGAGGTAGGATCCGGGTTTCTGCCGAGAAGGCTGGGGATCGGCGCAGGGCCGCGCGGTGGGGGAAGATGCCAGGGGCTCTGACTACCTGAGCGGCGCGGGACCGTGGGTGGCCGGGGCAGGCCCGGGAGGCCCTGGGGCCCCGGGAGGGTCGCACAACGCGGACATCCCGGAGCCCTAGCCCGAGCCCGAGGCGGGAGCGGCGAAGCGCAGGTAGCGCATGCGCGCTGACGGGAACCCTGAAAGGAACCAGCGACTAGGCTTCGCAGGAAAACCAGTCCGGCGACGTCCGCGACCCTCATATGTTGGTTCCGGACCGGAGTCGGGATCCCCGGAGCAGGACTGCGACTGTGACAGCAAGAAGCCGACCCGCCC